ATAGTGACATAAAAATGAGTCATACACTCATACGTTAATAGGCCAAATTAACCAGACTGTAGGCTGTTTATTGTATTACTTCAGTTGATTTCACTCTGTCCAATTTCAAGGCTCTGCAGACCTTTGTGCTGAAAATTCCTGTCAGCTTTATTAAACAGAGAAACGATGATGGAGAAACAAGGTGAGATACCTTGTTCATGGGATGCAGAAGGAATGATTTCTGTAGAGATCACTGAATACATGGGTTCATAACTATGAACAGGTATGGTGTAGCTAACATGATGGGAATTGTTACCCACTGCCTGCCTGTGTAAGTAGAGACTCGTCTGAAAAAGCACTGAAACATGTCATGCTCATCAGTTCTGGAAACTGCCAATCCGACTTCCAGAGAACACCTTTTATGACGCTGGCCGCTTCTCTGGTTTGGGTCACCAAAGCAAGTCAGAGATTATTTTACATAGATCACATGTTCTTTAACAAAAATAGTAATTGCATAGAACATTGTGTAGAAAAATTAAAAGTAGTAGATCAACATTTTCCTCGTGGGGGTGGGGGTGATTTTCATTTAGTATAATGAAATAGCTGAACAAAATGATCATCTTAAGCTTTTATTTTGACTATACTTCCCCTCCTAGTATGACACATGTCTCTAATGAAATTTAGATTTTATATAATACAAGAGGAAGCCAAAAGGTCTTCAAAAATAATCTGATGTCCAGAGAGCACTTACTGCCTGAAACTATTACAGAGTATACCTGACAAATGGCACAAGGATTTGTCACTGCAGCAGAGACACATTAGAAAAAAAAATTGACGCAGACAACAGTGAGGCACGCTTAATGTTTTTTTGAACATAAGAGTATTCCAGCAAAACCAGTTTGTTAATGGCAGATTACAGGTATTTGTATAGATGTAAGCTTCTCTTCACAGAAATTGGATTTGGCCAGCAAAATAGGAATGGAGTCTTTTTACTTTTACTACCAAAGTTTATTTACAACTTATTTACAACTCTAATGAAATGCTTGGACAGAAAATGAAGTGAATGTATATGGCCATCATTTTCCCAACAATTTGTAGAATTATACTTAAAAAAAAAAAAAACCAATCTGCATGCTTCCCAGCAAGCCTGAATTAGATCACTAAGCACTATCAGGAGTAGGATTTAAGATATAATCCTTTTGTTGTTACTTCCTACTAGTAGAGGTAGGCAGTTCTTGCACTATGAGCAGGCTTTTGTGGATGCACCTTTCTCTCAGGCCCATGGCTCTCCTCTTCTGTTTTGTAAGGATCTGCCAGACCACCCACAGTGAGATCTGGGAATCCTACCAAGCATGGGGGCTCTTGAATCAGGCGCTGAAGCAGTGCCGGTAGCAGCTCTCTCTGGCTACTTAGCCTCAAAGCTGAGAAACACTTGTTCCTAGTTAAGGCGTTTAATGGCATCAAATAAAGGAGGAACTTACACGTTACAGCATATAAATATGCTTACAAATAAATCAAAGGTTGGTATTTGTCACAGGAAGTGTTCTAAGCAGCAAAGCTTCAGAGTGATGTCTGTTTGGAGCTTTTCAAAAATGATGGTCTCTTTGTATCTGAGTTTGATGTGTTCTGTTACGGATCATCATCTGCTTACAAAACCTGGCATCTAGCTCAAATCTTCATAGTTAATGTTTTTTTTCTTTTTCTAAGAACTTCCACCGCTTAAGGACTGTGTTCCACTTCTTATGAAAGCTTCCATAGCCAGAAGTGCTACTTTTTGCCTGAATGTGGTAAACCTTCTCTTTCCTTCCTGGATCTCTGTATCGGGGTTAGTCACCTCCCGTTCCCAATGAGATAGTGTGTTGTGAAATGCAGAGAAGCTTGTTTTTCACTTACATACACTCCACTCTTTTATTTAGAGCCACAGTGGAATTATCATTGAGAAGTATTATTTCAATGTAAGCTTAGTGAAAACAAAAACCATTGGGTGCCATTCTATGTAAAGCTGAGAGCAGTCCACTTTTTTAAGGGGCTGATAACACAGAGATACTTTTTCAAGTTTAAACATCATTAGATTTTTATGCATCTACCAAAGAAATCAAACAGTAGTTATGAGTAGTTATGAGAGATAAGACTGGTATATTTAATGCCTTTTATTATTACTATATGTATGTATATATATAAATTATGTGAATTTAGCAGGGCAGCTACTTATCACCTTTGGATGTTTCTCTTATCACTACCACACAAGCTGAACCTTCCAGGGCAAATACTGGTGCACGGTTTTGCAGAAACATGCAAGCCTTCAGCCTGTGCATCTGGGCATTTTAGTGGGGGAAGAACAAGTTGGTACAAATAATTCAACTGTTTTATCCTGAAAGGGTGGGCCTTCCTAGTACTTTGCATAAACATCATTACCATTCAGCCTAACTTCAGTGCCAGTTCAACAATTTACATCTCCTTGGGAAATGTGCCAATTTGCTCTAACATGCTTCATTTATCTGCTGGCCTGCTTGCTAAAAGAAAGAATTACTGAACTACAAATAATACAGTGTTTTTCCTTTAAGGAAAGGCCTTGGAGCTCTGTAATCCTACAGCTCTGTGTCTTTCCTGCTTTAAATTCTTGACATCAAAAACATCCTACCTCTGGTGAGGGGGTAGAGAGCTCTTAGCAGCCCTTGGAAACAGGCAGATTGTCCAGACTGTCAAGGTTATGCTAAGAAATGGAGGGGGTGCTGCTGTGACACAAGATACCGACCAGCAGAGTTGGGAGAGTCTTAGCGCAGCTTTAATGTGCTGCAATACACACTGCTGTCACACACTGCAGTCACCAATCACCTGCCCTCGGAGTGCCTAAAATGTGAAGGGTAACACATGTTTCTTCCTCTAATGCGTTTTCTTACCTCTTTTCCCTGCCTCCCACACACAGAAATATTCTCTGCTATCTTAGATACTTGAAGTGTAAGCAACTGAATGGCGATACTCCCAAACATACTTTTAGTCCTTTTCTTCGTGCCTTTTTTTTTGTTTAATATGAGGAAGTATTTTGGTATCTCCTTTTGTTTCTCTCTTTTTTTTTTTTTGGTCATTTATTTTCCTGTTGTATCGAAAGTGATAGAACCTTTTTATTAATGCCAAGACTAGGATCAAATTTTGTAAAGTAGAATTTTAAAAATGGTAATACCAAATTTGATACCATCTGATACCAAATTTGAATTAAAAGCATTAGCAATAAGCATTTGATTTTGTTAGGATATTTTGTGTTCTATTACAAGATGACTGTTCTAATATTACAAAGTTCACATGCTAGTGAAGATCTCAGATTCTAAAAGTTATTAAAATTATATTATTTGGCATAGGACATGCATATATTCATAAACAAATAGTAAGAGCTAAGTAAATATAACAAAATAAAACAATTAAAAAGTTATAATAACTAAAAAGGGATCCTGTAGGAGTATCAGCACACAATTAGAAGCAGAAAGATGGACATAAAGAGGTAAAATGGTGTTTGATTGAAGCAACCAATCCTTTCCCCAAACTTATAAACTCATTTGTGAACTATATTATAACCACCTATGACTAGAGCAGAGTAATGGTATTCAGGACTAACTGAATTAGCAACAATTAGAACAACTTTCTGTTGCAGACAGCAGTTTTGGGAACTGCAGAAACTTACATAGCGGGACTGCTCAGAAAACGCTGGACTGTCATGGCCCCTCCGTTCCCTGTTCTGCACATATTTCTCTTAATCTTTTATGTCAACATTGATCACGGATCTGCTTTATCAATTGCAAAATTGCTATCTTGCTTATTTGTATTGACAATCCCATGAACAATATGATACTCAGAAACATATGCAAGCTCTTTGTATAACTTCTACTGCATCCTTGTTTATGAGGAGACAATGTAGTTGGTAAGAAAAATGAATGAAAATGATAACCAGAAAATTAAAACTTTGTTTAGGTTCTAACATCTTGTTTATAAACAAATTTAAAATAAAAGAAATCAAGTGATTACATGTTCTTTTATGACAGAGCATATTCATCTCCAAGTCATGCTGGAAAAGGGTATTCTGATGTCCGGAGTTGAACAGAATCTCCCTTACAGTATTCTGTGTTGTTGCTTATGGATGTTAGGGCAACTGATGGAAGCTGGCACTAGGATCTGTTAGAGGAGGATATTGTCCCTATATTTTTGTTGTGTGAGTGCCATATTGGAACAAAAAATAAAATGGATTTTATACAATCAGAATTAAATCAAACCAAGACACTATGGAACTTCTTTTAAATAAATTTATACTTTATTTGAAAACTTCAAATAAGCAGTATACTAGAACATGATTTAGGACTTTTTAAATTCTGTTACATTTTAGGACCCATAAAATAATAATCCCTAACAGTTAACAAGAGTGAGGAAGCTATTTGTTAGTCAGTATGTATGCTATAAAGTGCTAATATTGTTTTTATCACTCCTTTTCCCTGCTAAGTGTGTACATTGTCTCTGCCTACTGCTGATCTGTTACTATACAAATTATAAAGTATGGCCTATCTTCAGAATCTGACACTCTAACCAGCTAGTATACAAATAAAAGAAAGAGCACAGATTATAACAAAAGCCCTAACAGAGATGTTGGTATAAACCTTTTAGTTTCAGGTTTGTTTGGAGGGCATTTTCTGCTTCCTTCTCTTTCATCAGATGTTCTGTCAAAGTCCTCTGTGCAAGGGTTGTTTCTTTTTTCAAATCACCCAACCACTTATCAAGTCTGTATTTTGTTAAAATATATATTCATAAAGATATATATATATATATGTATTCATAAAGATATATATATGTATATATGAAGTGGAAACTACAGTAGAAGGGATGCTTGTAACATATTTTCTCTCAAAGTAATAACCTTTATCACCACATAGTTCTTATTTTCTTCTAAGCATCATTTTGTTTCCCTCATTTTATTTAGTACTAAGAAAAACTGGCAGATTCAGAGCATATAAATTCCAGATTTAAGATAAAATAGATCACAGACATGTTGTACAGGTCATTTGGTTATACTTAGTCTCAAGAGGTAGGAAATAATTAGTGATTGATAATGATCAAATGAGGAAAGATACAAGAGATAGCTGCTTTTAAGTATCAAACATATAAAATGTTATTTTCAATAACGGTATATAAATACTGGTGACTAAACTTATCATTTCTTGCACAGTATCTCATATAGACTGTCTCTTAATAACCTGGCATTAGATTAATTAAAGTTTTATTTGTCCAGATAAGATCCTCTCATGTACTTCTTTGGTTAATGAGACATACGCTTGCTTAGAACGATCTAAAAAGTAAAGTGGATCAGTGATTGCAGATGGATTAAAACCTTCATCCACCAAACGAAATTTCTGTTGTTTGAAAGTTCCAGTCATTTCCATTGTTTGCTATGGAAAAAAAAGAAAATGATTTATTATTTAGTATATATACTGAGTTGCTTTTTTCTGCTCCCATTCACATATATCTTAAGAAGTCTTACTTGATATAAGGGTAATTCTATTCACTCTCCTCACCCATTTTGTAATGTTTTGTTCAAGTTTCTTTTCAATAACAGTGTTTCCCCTGAGAAAAGGTATGGGAGGCATCTGCAGTGCCATTTCTTTTCACTATTTAGATTTTTCTGAACTTTGTCTTGCTTTCCAATCACTGTGAACAATATGAAACTGCTCTCTTTCTTTCCTTTTTCCTTTCACTGCAGTCATGTCTAGTACACCTCCTTTTTCTTGCCTCCTGTCACAACAACAGTCAACTTCCATCTGCCTTGTTTCTCTAATACATCAATTTATCCAGCAATTCCATTCCATTTCTCTATACATTTTCTTCTTACACACCCACATTGTCGAGGTCCTTTCTATATTCAAATAAGTAAGATTTAGCCTCTTCCCTCAAAAATTTCTGCTTCAGAGACCATTAACCTTTTGTGGTGACACCAGTGAACACCTTTTTTTCATTTTCATCTCAAATGTCACTGTGCATATGATTTCCAATCCATCTTGGATTCAACAACTCCATTGTCATTCTAGATCATTCCAGTTAATTTTCTGCCACAGCAGTCTATTTCTTTTTCTTTCCTAAAACACTCCCGTGAAATCCCTGCCTATTTCTGTAGTATTTGTTCAAGCACTTCTTATCTTGAGCTGTTAGCAGTCCTCCATGCATTCATTAATTCTGCTTGTGACACTACCCGATGCTTCCTGGGCTTCCAAAACTTGGTTTCCCCTCTATCTTCCTGTCCCTTCCCCTACACCTTATGATCTCTCTCTGTGGTCTTCTCTCCTACCTTTACATTTACAATATGTATATACATATACTTATAGTCTCTTAAATTACATTTAATTTACAAGCTCTTTGAGAGAAGGACTTTTTTTTTATTATTTCAAACTGGACAGCAACAACAGCAAGGTAGGAGATCACAATTAGGGATGATAGTTTTAATGATGGTGACTATAATAAACAAATGCTTTTAATTCAGAACCAATAAATACTGTACCTCTTTAAATGTTTTAACCTTTTTGCAGCTGTATTATACTGCAAATGACATCTCATTTGTTGTGCATTATCAGTGTGTCTCCTGCTTTAGCTTTATTTCTCTGATTTCTCATTTCCACTAAACAAAATGGATTTTAGATTATTTTCTCCAGATGCAATGGTTCTCGTTTTACTAATCTGAATCTTTTGTCTGTGCTTCTAATCTCCCTAAATCCCTAAATGTGATCTCTATCCTTACTGATACACGCAATTCCTCCCAATTTAATGTAATCTTCAAATTTCATTAAGTGTTTTTTGTAATTCCTCTTTAAGACCTCATTAATGAAGAGAATAAAAAGGACCAGTTCAAAAAACACTAAAAAAAAAACTAGATTACATGATAGGTGAGCAAACACTTTCTTTATGTTTGCCATGCTGACTTTTTTTTCATTTAGCAATTGCTGTGTTTATACGGTGGAGATGTTAATGTGCATAGTAAAGCAGTTTACCTGGACTCTTAAGAAGAGAGGACAGGCATAACTGGGTAGACAGGTAACAACTTGCTTATACATCTGCTCCAAATCTAGTGTTGTATTCTCCTTCAAAATTAATAAAATTTGGATTTTTGTCATTAACTTTACTTTCAAAAAGAATTACAGCACATGAATAAGCTGACAATAATATTTCATTTTCTGGGATTCAGTAATACAAGCAAATTGTATCTATCTTATATGTACTGTATATATCATGTGGTATTGCATCTTTTTGGAGATTGAGCTGCAAGTTAGGCATGTAAGGATGAACGGAGTACCATATATCTAAACTCAATATTAACTAAAACATGTTGATAAATATCAGCACAGTCCCTTTCTCTCAAAAACAGAGCACTGAACACCTTTCCAAGTTTTGCCAGTTATGTGTTCTCTTCAGTTTTTGTCTTTCTCTCCACAGTATCTTCACTAAGGGCTGTGGATCTGAATGTTTTTGGCTGAGAGGGAGAGATCAAGAGAGTCAAGAAGCCCTAACTGGTTTGTCTGGGAAAGGAGACAGCACTTGGGCTCTGTGGAAAAAATCTTACATGTGTAATATATTATAAAAGCAATAAAATTTAGCAATCAAAGTAACTGCTCATTTTAAGCATCAGCTGGCAATAACAACAGAGACATTCTACCACTGCCTCTTTCCAATCCTTCTCTGGTAATGCTACAACTTCTGTGGTGAAATTATTTTGTGCATGTATAACTACATTTATCAGGACAGAGAAATTATATTCTTCTCTTTCTTAATATATAATTCATTTTTTTTTCTTCTTTCTTATCCAGTCCTTGAATTTTGAAAAAAAATCCTGTTAACTTATTATTAGACACAGTTAAAGTGCGTTAAGACAATGGAATTGCTTTATTTAGTAATGAATATCCTTTTCTTTAGAGTAGCTTTAATTCTTACCTTGTTGACCTGATGTTATTTTGATGAGGATTTTTCACAGGTGTGAATTTAATAATGTTTTAAACTATCACAAATTCATGGAAAAACAGCTTTTTAATAATATACATTGAAAGGCATGATTCACGAGCTCACTTACAGTCTGTCAGTATTTTTATTATCTGCAGTACATACTGTTTAATACAGCGAGGCATTAAACAGCTAACTCTATCAGAAATGATTCATAGGTTTATAGCATGAAATAAAAGTTATGAAGGTTAACAACAAAGTCTTGAGGAAAACAAGACCACACAGCTAATAAATACTTCTCTTACCTGGCACACATACACCATACACATTTGCTTCTTGTATGAAGTCCAACATGACCATCACATCACAAACTTCAGTGGTTGCAACATTCTCTCCTTTCCATCTAAAACGTGAAAAAATAATTTAATTGCACGTAAACATATGGACAGCTACTTTTAAAAACATTACTGAGAACTCTGTTCGTTTTATATCACTAACTATTTCAACTCGTCAACGTTGTTTAGCAGTCTAATGACCAGAAGACTGCATTTGTCACTGAAACGGGACTGCATATTAGATATCACTTAATAGGAAGAAAGCTTATCATAATCTCAAATAATGTTTGTCTAATGTGACCTTCTTCAATATATGACACATTTTTCTCTAATTTGCTATCCAACTTTCCTTGTTCCTAGCAATCTATCATTTATTAGTCTGCTTATTGGCAAGAATGTTCACAAAGTTGTAATTCATCCAAAGCCTCCTGAAAATTTGACAGTTAGCTCTGCTGGTATTAAAATATAGTTATAAATTAAACACTCATGACTGAAAACAGGTAAAACAGCATTATTCTGTTCTGTATGTCTATGCTTTTTAATGATGAAATATTATAAGAAACAATGATTATACCTGAAGGTATCTCCGATCCTGTCCCAAAAATAAAGAAAATTCTCTTGGTCTTGAATCATCAGATCCCCAGTATTAAAATAAAGATCTCCCTTCTTAAACACATCACAGAGTAGTTTCTTTTCTGTATGTCTCTTATTGCCAGCATAACCAAAGAAGGGATTCTTTGCATTCACTCTGGAAATGAGAAGACCAGCCTCACCTACACAGACAAGTTCAAATTAGTGTGAACATAACATATCATTGTTTATTTCCTGTATTTTACCTTAATGTTAATTTGCTGCCTATATCTTTAGTAGACCATCAGCCGTGTTTCAACCATCTTTTTTAAGGAGGTGTGACCCTATAATAGCAGCTCATCTGTTTCTACTGCTTTGCAGCTTGTGTAGTCACTTCTAGACGCAAAGTCACCATAGTTACAGAGCAATATTGCCAACTCACAAAAAACAGTATTTTGTGTTTATTGATAACTCGTAAAAAGTTGTCTCTGAGAGATGATCCATCATCTTGTCAGTTCAATGTACACTCGTTACTCTCACAAAGTGAGAATATCAAAGCGAGTGAATATTAAACCTCATTCCCCACACCTTACTTGCTTTTTCTGTAGTAGTGATTTAAAGGTTGTTTTCAAAAGGCAGCTGTCCAACCCAAGCATTAGTTCCCTACTTGTCCTTGTTTCAGAAGTTTTGAAAACACTTCTGAAGAATTCCATTAATGTGACAGAGTAGCATCATTGCTTTCTTTTCAGAGTCAAATACAGAAGTTTTAATATAAAGTTGACTCAAAAAACGGAGACATGGGGGAAGGATTATCCTGTAAGACACATGGCACTGGTGTGTTAGTTTGCCGAAAGCAAAAGAGTTTTCTGAACTCCTCACCATTCTGGAAACGTGTTCTGAACAATAAAACCTAAGAGTTACTTAAGTAAGATTAGTTACTTTATTAGGGGTAAGAATTGTACAAATGAAAATAACATAAAAAAATACAAAGGAATAATTTACACAAATAATTTAAGATCTTCTTCTCATAAAAGAGCTGTGCCTTGTTTCCAGAAATCAGTATTACCTAAAAGAATTTAGTTCAGTTGTAGTGTCGCTTTAGCCATGATCGTCTAAGGATATAGCATATGGGTAAGGCAAAGTCTTTGATAGAGATGGTAGCTTTTATTAGACTATTGTAACCAGGGAAAAAAAAAAAGAAAAGGAAAAAAGGATAGCATTTTGGCCATGTGCGCCCTTCTCAGACCAGTCTGCCATCCTTGCATCTGCCTTCCTGTAAAATTTTACCCACAAATAGTTTTCGAGGACCATGTTCTTCTGAAAAGTGCCCAGCTTTGATTAAAACCTGCTAGACAATCCACAATTTGCTTCAAAAATCTGCTTCAGCTCCCTGTTAAAACTACGAGCCTAATTTTGTATATGAATTTGTCCCCCTTCAGCTTCCTGGCATTATTATAGCTCATATCTGCCTGCAGTACTACAGAGATATGTTAGTATCTGATACGCTCTGAAAATATGTATAATGAAGAGATAACTGATAAAAGTATTTTCAAAATAGTTATATTCAAAGTACCTCTTTTTAAAAAGCTAAACAGAGAAGCACTTAATCTCTCACCAAAGAGCATGTCATCTGATCCACTATTTTTTGTGGATCTTTTAAACAACCTTCTCAACGTGTTCACCTCCTTTTAAAAAAAACTTATTTACCTGCATATTCAGAGATATTATTACTTCATGATCTTTGTACATTACTCATTCACTTCAGTGAATACATCCACGGATCTCATAACTTCTGATGTAAGCACCACTGTGCTTAATACTGCTCTGGCTTAAATCAAGAAACACACTGTTCCTTTTTCACGAGCAAAGAGTAAAAGTTGATGTTGGCATAGATAATACAGCAACACAATAGCAAGGCTCACGAAAAAAATGGAACTAGGCTACTTGCATTAAATCAAAAGGCTGTTATAGGCTATTATAATGCATGCTTACCTTTCTTAACTTTCTCACACCAACCATGCTTGTTTCTAACAGGTTCATCTTTCTGGAAGTCATACTTGATTAAATCAAATGGGAAAAAAAGCTAAGAAAGGGAAAAAGGATCATCAGTTGTTAATATACACAGTGACATCTGGTGGCAGCAAATATAAGCAAGGAAACAATATTTTTACTACAATCTTGCTCGTCAAAATGTTGAATGTAGTTTCGCTTAAAAATGCAAAATATTCTATGTGAACTTAGACAACTTGCTGGAGAAAAGTAACATCAGAACATTTAATAACCTGGTAACGTTCAGAAGTATCCTGTTTCACGTCACTTCATGAGGCTCAGGTTTTTACCGGCCTGGCACAGCCTTATGCTGGATGCAACACTTCATGAAGTATTTGCTAAGCAGCGACTGATACTTGCTAAGCATTCTCAGGGCTTTCTGGTTCCTAATAAAACACGCAAAGCAAAGGTCTGCACCTTCTTACAGTGAAACCTGCTCCCTGCTGTGCTTAACTAGCCTCAGTTCTTCCCTCCGGGTTCCTCGACTTGCCACATCCTGGAGAGCGCTGCCATTGGCGCCACCAGAAAGATATGCATTCCCCGGTTTTTTGATGTGGTTATGTAGCTGAGCACATTCCATAGATACGTCAGGGTCAGTCCGGCCTGCTTTGGAAATAGCACAACCCGCTGGGCGCCAGCGCTGCTGAGCCGGCCGGCCTCGCTCAGGAGGTGGGACAGGAGGCAGCGCGGGGTGAACACAGAGGGCAGCACCTCAGCAGCCACATTAGATACCACAGCACTGCTTTCCTCCAAATAGGCAAGGTCTGATCGCCTTTATTTTTCCACTGGATATAAAAATCCAAATTAAATCTGAAAGACCTATCCTTGATACTATATTGACCGCTATGTTTGCAGTTATTTTCCTAAGGACTCAAATCTACCCAGCTCTGAAAGCTTCTGATTTTCCCTTTTTAAAGAATTATACTGGGAATGTATGTCATGACCAGCCTAATAAAGGATATATAATTATCTTGCTCTGGAAAAAGTAGAAAGAAAACAAACAAACAAACAAACAAACAAAAAAAGTCACTATATACATGTACCTTTTATAGCAAGAAATGAAATGTAATTGAAGGATGGCATTATGAGGATGACTGAAGTAATGCGTAGGATGCCAAAACATCAAATGCTTCACCTTCCTGCAGTTAAATTAGGATGAAGAGTTGAATAATGATTTTTTTATCCTAATTTTAAATCCTTCTGCAGCTGTATCACATCACTTTGTTCTCAAGGAGGACTGAATAAATAGCAACTTGAAGCCAAACATTAAGCATGCAGATTCAGCTTCATATGGTCAAATGTGATCTATTGAGTCTTGTCAAAATTCACCACTGTATCTCACTTCTCCCCGAAGTCTGGCACAAAAAGATATTTTTAACTGTTGGCCAAAGGAAGGTTGTAATGTGAAAATTCAAGTCATGATCCAGGATCAGATACTATTTTCTAATAAAGTGAAGATTTTTTATAACTATAGACTGTAACATTTAGCAAAGTCATGAAGTTGGAAGTTAAAGACTTTATTTTAATTAAAAATAATTATACTATTCTTAGTAAACTGCACTGGGAGCTATTCATAATAAATGGAAGTATTTTTTTTCTCTCGCTCTTTGACTTTATCCACTTGATTTTTATTTTGTTTTCACAGACTGATATTTACTACTTTGATAGATTTTTATATGACAGACCAAATACAGTGAAAAACATAAACAATGAAATAGTATGAAATGAAATGTTATTATGATATTTTTGAACAGAACAAGTGCCCTGTTCAGATCCATTTTTATATGTTCATTGCTTTAAAGCTTAATAATTGTATTTTATCAATTATGCCAATTCTGCATGATACATCTTTTGTTTTAAATACTCAGAAGCTTTAATTTGGCATTTGAGATCATCTAACAAAATGTGTTGCAAGTTTTGCTTTTTATTTTTCTCCTTACACCTTTTAATGCCTGCAATTTTAGTATCAACCAAGCCAGTTCCAACTATCTCTCTGAAATAAGACTTGTGCCAATATGCCAATAAAATAAGAACACATGTGGCATCACGCTGTTCAATGGAACTATAAGGTAGCACACATTTTGTGCAAAGACCTCTCTGTATGCAAACAGCTTTCTTTTCATTGTGAGTATTGGAAAATGCAAGCACTAGAGCAAAACATTTAATCTAGCTACAGGCATACATCTGTTTTATCTCATTATTTAAAATTATTGGAAAAGAGGGCCTGAAATATTGAAGAATTATCATATTATTCTCAGAGCATATTGCATACAGTGTTCATCTACCTTTGTCTATACTTTATTCCCCAAAGCACTATGTAAATGTATCAAAGAAGACCGTTTGACTACTTGAAACTTGAAGTAAGATAAACTGCACCATATTGTTGATGACCAAGTTGCCTGGATCTTATCTAAGATAAGACATCACACAACCTGATTTATTTTTTGAACGGTTTGACTGCAAATAAGTGAGTTTTGAAAATAGTTTTGAAATCCTTAAAGTTTAAATTTTTAAAGAATGATTAGAGAAGCTTAATCAAAGAAAGATCACAGGCTGTTATATTTTATTTAGTTTATTATTTGTTTTGAAAGTGATACAGTGTCGAATTTTCTGTGAGAATAGCTGTTTATAAAATGAAGTGTTACAATTATCAGACTTATGCCCAACCATCTTGAAAAAGTGAAGCAATAGAAAGCAAAAAAACCTGGAGCACAGCAACATCATTTCTTAACTATGTTTTAAATATATACTTGCAATGTTTTATTTATGCTGAAGAACTAGATATGCAGGTCCTCTGCATAGTTTGGTTAGCTAACGTAAGCAAAACCAATCCAAATAGCTTTTAAATTCTTGATATTAACTGAACCATTACAAAATATTACAAGAAGATGTCTTGGAATATCCTTAAGTACCTTTGATTATTTTAGCTCAACACCAAAATTTCAGGAAGAGCAGCAGCAACACTAGTTTTCTTTTATGCTGTCTATTGGGCCCTGAGGCTTAAGTACTTCCTTGCTTAGACTGAAACATATCAATGTTTCTCCTGTGAATGCAAATTTCTGGAGTCTTAAGATTAGCTAAACTTGACCTCAAATTTTGCTTTTATGTTAAAGTGCATTTTGCCATGTAAGTCTGCCTTTTTTGCCTTTTTGCAAAAGAAGTTTGCAAAAAAAGGTTTGCCTTTTTTTTTTTTTCAGGAGGCATTAAAACCTTCCTTGCATCTCAGCAGTCCTATTCTCTCATTATAGTTTCCTTGTTGTCACACAGTATATATAAGACAGAGATTTAACATACATATTTAACAAGTGCCACTGAGTGTCTTATCACTTTTTTCCCCCATCACATTTTAATATGTATAAAAGCTATATCCTATACTATTAATCGTATTAACTATAAGCATATGAAAGCCAAATGTAAATATTAAACAGTAATGTACAATATTATTAGGTCAATCTGTATTTCAAGACAGTATTTCAAGACAGCTACAGAGCTTCAGGGTTTTCTACTGTTCTGTTCTCCAAGACTATGTGCACATCCTTATTGAAGGATTTATTCACATATCACAGTGATGTCTTCAAGCACACAAACCACTCCCTTTTATACAAGCAGAGTGAAAATAAACAAGGGAAACGCTGCGTTAGCACCTCAAAAACAGTGGCCTCTTGGATGTCTGGCAAATTCCTATTACAATCACTCATTTGTTCCCACTAACTAGAAATAATCACACTCAGAATATTGTTGTCACTGCAAATTCACTCATTTTTGTCATTACCTTGTCTTGAGTGAGTTGTGCCTGTTATTATGTCTTCCATATTATTTGTGAAATAATGTGTTATAGGAGAACACTGATACTGATCAGCAGTGCCTGTCCCCCTCCATTCCTCCCTTTTTTGTCATTTAATGACAGAAAACTGCCTTTGATTGTCTGGGAGGTCAGTTTGTAAAGACAAAAGATAATACAGCTATAACTTTATTTGCATTTCACCCTTAGAAACAGTGCCATTGCCACTACCTACGGCCAAAATGCCTTATTATTTCTCTTTTTCCCCACTAAAAACCTTTTACTTAGAACCTAGATGTTATTCTGGATGGACTGCATGATTGTATATATGTATATATACATATATAAAAATACTCTCTGTCTCCTTTTCTACATCACAGAGATGATCACACAGCTCTTTTCCTCTTTCTCAGGTTTCTTTCTTTCACTTCCCAGGTAAAGAAGCAGGTCCTTAGGAAATCCTTAGAGAGTATCTTTAATGATGTGTCTTTATATCGATCCACATGTCAAGAGAATATGGTTGCAAAAACAGTGCTGGCAGTTCTTTTTTTCCCCTCTCTGAGACCAGTAACATTCTCTGCTCCCTCAGGCAACTAGATGGACAGAAACACTTAGGAATTGAGTGCCTGGGCCTTTCCTGTGACATTCCCTGGTTTGCAGCAGTAGGCCGTCTCCCTGGCTGGGTTTCAGATCATCCGAGGGTCAGAGAAACAGCAATAAAGCAATACTGCTACATATCCACTCAAGGTCACTCAGAGTAATGTAAAGCAAAAATAACAGTTACATTTCAAAATGCATTCTCCAATGCAAATGTAGTTAACAAAAAAAGAAAAAGGAAAGGAAAGGAAAGGAAAGGAAAGGAAAGGAAAGGAAAGGAAAGGAAAGGAAAGGAAAGGAAAGGAAAGGAAAGGAAAGGAAAGGAAAGGAAAGGAAAGGAAAGGAAAGGAAAAGAAAAGAAAAGAAAAGAAAAGAAAAGAAAAGAAAAGAAAAGAAAAGAAAAGAAAAGAAAAGGCCTGACCTCTGGCCAAACTGACTTATGTTTATGTAATACAGGACCAGCTGGTCACAATACTCAATTGTAATCAAAAACATGTAGAAAAGATCGTCCCCAATCTTCAGCATTTGTTCAAGTATGTATCTCTTTATGCAATATGAAATACATAAAGCAATGTGTAAATAACAAAAGGTGCATCTTATGATCTTTTTAACATTCCTTCATGCTCTCTCAATTGTTTTTTAGGCTTTGCTTTTTTTGAATTGCACTAAATCTAACCAAGCCTGGGCTCATTTGAACACTACTGTGTTTCAACATACGGGGGAGCTGGTTGCTCCTGCAAACCATCAGGAAAGTGGCAAGAAGCAGATGGAAAGAACTGTCATTCCAGAGAGACTGTATGAGTGAAAGCATAAGAGACCTGGCAGATATGGCAGATATGGAGTATGACATATGTAACTATGACAATGTAATACACATATATATAAACATGCCATCTTTTTGTACTGACAAGGATTCTCTCAGAGAGAGAGGCTAGGCAGCTGGAAATGTTTTGCCTTAAAACATATTACTTACGAAAAAAAAAAAAAAGTCCTTTTGGAGCTTTGGAGAAGTACATGAAAACTCCTCCATTTGGAAGATACTTGGGACAGACCTATGCCCATATAAAACAGGTCATATAATCCACCCACCAACACGGCTAGATGCACCAGGCCCACGTATGAAAGTGCAGCAGTTTGTCTCCACGTTGAGCCGGTTTCTAGCAACAATTTTTATTCTCCTCTCAGGTTCTACAGACATGGAATGCCAAATTTATTTACATTGGAGTAGGAGTTGGGAGCCAGTATATACCATAGGCCCCAGTGAAGAATGGTTATAACTAAATATTTAGCCTGCTTACAAATATGCGCTTTAGTTACTTTCCTTATAACAGAAAGTACAGAAATAACTGCTAAATTCTTACTGTAGATTTATTTCTAGGGAAAAGAGAACATTGAAAAAGAATATAAATTGATTTCAAAGCCAAATGCAATGAACGGCTTTTTCCGGTTCATAAAATATCTTATAGTCTTTCCATATCTCAACTGAGTAAGCAGGGGGACAATCCATAATTAACTTAGCAGACTATATCGATATTTCCATAGACTAAAATAGTTCCAACTTGGACGAATATATATATTATAGCAAAAATACCTAGGGATGTCAAGTATACAGTTACAACTGCATTTATTTTTTAATTGTGGTTTGCAGGAACTATTCTTGTTTGCAGTAACTAACTCAACTCTAACTAGTATTAAATTTAATAATTAGAGAAGTAGAATATTTCATGTGCAAGAAAAACAAAATCAGTGAATAGACAGATTATTCAATCTATAAATCAATTAACATGACTTCAGACCTAATCTTTTATATGCTGTAGCTCATACATGCCATTTACAAAAAATTAATGACTTACAAAAAACTCTACTAAAATTGGTAAAGTTCTAAAAACAATTTTACTTCATTTTGGAACATAAGTAAAGTTTTAAAGATTTCTAAGAAAAAAAAAGTTCATAAAATAATTAAAGCATGTGGCTTGGCAAAGTCTCAAACAAAGTCCACAAGCTGTAAAGATTCCTGATTCTGCTGCTGCTCCCTAAATACTAGATTCCTGGTTTTGTATAGTGGATTTTGGGTAGTGCACCTTCCTGTGAAGGTCCTTACAGGCATCAGAACCAGACATCCTATCACAGAATATAGATCATGTGCAACTCGGAAAATGAGCAAAGTGAATCTGCTTAGTTCGCCAAGCTCTGAACAGTTTCTGAAAAACGTGCTATTTCTTGAGGTCTTTTTCTGAGTGTTTCCAGGTTCCTCCCTGCAGGCTTGGGCTGAAACCTTGACTCCCAGGTTCCTATCCCTGAAGGGAAGACATGGGAATTCCTCTGGACTGTAAACTAGTCTATGTAGTGTTGCTGTATTGATGTCGCAGTGGAGACCTTGAAACTATCTAGAACCTGTCTAGAGACATATTTGCATTTCATCAGAACTTATCTGGAACAGATGTGTTTCCAAATAATATTTTAACATCTTTCTGTGAAAACAGTTTTGTCGGAACATCTTATTACTAGTTTGTCTCAGGAGAGCACAAATGCCACTTCCATCAGTAGGGTTTGTGCTCATTAATAGGTATCTCAATTTCTTTTGCAAATTATAGCCAGGGGATGTAGTCCTGTTTACAGGAGAAGCATGAAAATGAGCACAAGTGACAAGATAAATAAGCAGTGTGCTTGCTCATTACTATCCATATAATATTGAGTATCATATGTACATCACAGAATCATAGAAAGCTTAAGGTTGGAAGGGACCTCTGGCACAGGACTGCGTCCAAGCAGGTTAATCGTGATTATATATCAAACATTTTTGAAATTTAGCAATAAGAAAACAGACCGGATGTGAAGTAGCTAGTTACTTGTATTTAACTCTACGCAGGTATAAAATATCTCTGAAATGGATTTCTGCTTTTATTTTATTACTACTAATTCTTACCTGTGCTAAACATTTAGACAATAGCATGCCCTACAAATACAACCCTTGAAAACAACTGTAAACATAATCTGTGCAAAACTAAATCAGGACATGGATTTTTTTTTTCACTTATCACAAATTCTTAGGTATCCCTGTTATCCTTTAAGAGGGTGGAGATTTGGACTGATACTCAGAATCAGCTCAAGACTCAGAGAGATGCCCTTTTTGACTCTGAATTCCAAGAAAATCTGATTTCCCAGGGTTTCTGCTGAACACTTGACTCGCTTTGGCGATAAACACTAACTGCAATACCTTGGTTGCTTCCAAGATTTTACAGGGTCAGTTGCAATAACTTGCAACTTGCAATAACTAAATTATAAAATTTAACCTTGGACTGATGGTTGCAGCCACATAATCAGTAGTCAAATTGAGAAATATGTTTGCCTTCAACACGCCCTCCAAAATAAAACAGAATTAAATAGTCACCTTATAAAAGAAATTGGTACGTCCCACAGATCCAATTTTTCCTGTGTGGTTCATGAAACAAATGTTTCCTTCAGTAGCACCATAAAACTCACAGATCTTAACAGAACCAAATCGGTCTAAAAATTCTCTCCATACATCATTTCGTACTCCATTGCCAATCGCTAGGCGGACTTTGTGATTTTTTTCTCCCTCTTTCTGTTAAATAAAAAAACACACACACACACACAGTATATTCTCATATTTGATTGTTACAAATACTATGAAGGAAATGTACATGCTTAAATAAGTCAGGCATAAAGCATTAAAAAAAAATAACAGTTAAATGAAAAACAGCTGGTATAGCTAGGCTATAACTACAATGCAGCAAACTTTGCAATCAAAACATCTATTATGTGTTTGCCAGTAACTTACTGCACAAGCAAAATAGTGCCTGAATAATGACTACATTAATTTATATAAATTCTGCCATATTTTAAAAAGTTTATCCTGTCATTCTTTTTCCACTTAGCACGATTAGAAAATTTGGAGTAACAGAGGAAGGCAGGCATTATTTCTGTCAAGGGATTAAAGTCGGCAGAGATTAATAGTTACTTTTTTGTATCTTCATATTGGTTATAAGAAACAATCAAAATTTCATGCAGCTGTTCCTTCCTGACTTCCCTGAGTCATCTTCCGTTATTTCTTTCAGAATTAACGCTTACAACTCTTGTTCAATGTTACTTGGAACACATTATTTCCTAGTGATTCTCCGTCTTTACTGTTTTCAAATCTCATATTTTATCATAAGAAACATGATATTATTCATCCACTTCAGTGAGACTCGCTACTTTAATTAGTATGTTCCTGAACCATGTGATTCCAAGGGGACCTTAAATTACATTCAGCTTTAGGTTGAAATATTACAAGGCAAAGCACCTAAAATGTATATGTTTTACTGCTTAAAATCAGTCTTCCTTTTTAATTTTTGCAGGTGCCAAGACAGAATACTCTATTAATGAGACAGCACAAATTAAACCCAAGATTTTTACATCATTTTTATCTCCTATATATAGAATTGCATAGTGCTTTAGTATGGGTACACTGCTTGTATATACATACATACATACACACATGCATACAAATTTTTATATATATATGTGTGTGTCTGTATATATCTCTGTCTTCCTCTGTGTTTATAGAATGGTTATACATATTCACAAAATTCACTGCTTTTTGTTCTAATATTCCTGTTTATTTAGCCCACCTCTCTCTGCCAGTCACCAGTGTATGTCATGAAATACCCAGGGGTGCTGACTGAAAGGAGAATCTCTAAATGCTGTGTAGCTTTAGAGCAAAGAAGTGCCTAGTGAACACATAGGAAGTGCTAGTCCTCAGAATGAAGCGCAGGGAGGTTTTCACAAGGATAGGAAATTCTCCTCTCTGTCCCAAAAGGTGCATACAGAGCAACACTTCAAGTTTCTGCTCTAAATCATGAATACCAAGTTCTCTTTTTCCCTCTTTAAAATCACAGGAGGAAGCAAAAATCCTGTACTGAGTTTCAGAGTCTTTCTTGAATGATCCAGCAGTAAATGCACATATTTCACTATAGGCAAATAGCTCTTAGCAGATTAGGATCTTGTACAGCACTGTCCTGCTATATCATCGTAAAACTGCATCGCTCTGGGCCTTCCTCAAGCCTCCCTCTGTCACTGACCATTCTGTTCAAGCATGTCTGCAAATTGCTTTAGCTTCAGCAGTCATTTCTAAACGGTAATCACATACTTCGTTAAGCTACTGCAAATTGTTATCAACATAAACTGCATTATGAAGTACACAGAAATTGCAAGTGGAGATCATCAGTAACAAAATTTCTAAAATGGTCTAGGAGGTGTTTTTTTAGTGCTTTCATTTTTTCACTTCAGGTGCAGTATTGCAATGCAACAGTGTGGATTTTCATATGCCTGAAATACTGTTTATTCTATTACATGTTCACAGAATATTATACTGTCAATGAACAACAAAAAGATACATACATATATGTGTATATATGCATATATACACACATACATATATATATGTATATGTACACACATATATGTATACACATATATACACACACACAGAGATATTTGTTTGTTTGTTTCTGTTCTACTTCAAATTTTGCCGGGAAGGCTTTTAACCCTTTTTCCAGAAAACTGTTCACTGCCTTGATTTGTGACACATGATGTTGTCCTTCAGTTTCATTATTAAACTGAAGTTAAAGTGTTGGTAAGTGAACTGCAGTTACCCCTTCCTGAGGTCACTGAATTACTCAAATGTACAGACTGTGCTAACACATGAAAAAGAGGACAAGAGATCTTTTCACAGAAATAACTTTTTACCACAATGAACAAAAGAGACAAATATGTGCGTAGGTATGCACACTGATTGAGTGGGTCTCTCATCAAACTGGGGGCATTTCAAACTCTCTAAAAATCAACTTAAACAGGTGAGAGTTACGCGTCACTTTTTTCCTCCAAAAAGGATAAATAGAGCATTGTTTATAGGGCCAGCTACATCAATTCCTGATTCTTTTCTGGTTGGGTAAAAAGTCATGGCTGACAGTCAAGTCAAGTCAAGGTTGGGCTAAAGTCATGCTAAAGGCTTCTCTAATGGAAAAGAAGCACCTGTGGCTGACACTAGGCCGGTGCTCCTCCGTGTTCGCAACAGGGGTGCCTATTGACAGTGCAGTGCCACACACGGCTGCCGCACGGCAGGAGACAGATACTCTCTTAAGGCTCAGCCCCTTTGCAGAAGTGCAAAGAAGGTGTATGAAGTTAGGAAGGCCTAACTGGCTGCAGAAAGCAAGCTTTTTAAAACAGAGGGCAGTAATTCACTTTTTTTTCTCACACATCAATTCTCAGCTGAGCTAGATTTCCTACTAGAGTGCATTGCCGCAACTGCAGTGCTTGTGATTTGGTCAGCTCTTATCACACAGTACCCCTGTGCGGGTACAAGAGTCACTGAAGAGCAGTGCAGAGCTTTCTGGAGAAAAAAAAAACACAAAACTGTCATATATTTTAGCAGTCTTTCAAGTATAAGAATGGAAAAACTATGCCATATAATCTCCTATTCTTGAAAGTTTAGAAAGTATAAAAAGAATATAAATGAGGGAAAATTTAAACATTTAACAATGCTAATTCACAATAGTTTTACATGTAACTAAACTCATATAGCTTTTTACTTACTTTTATGTTTTTATTTTTAATCCGTTTTACTGCAGGACACTAATCCTGTGAGCAACTAACTTGCTACAGAAAGTTGACTTTACACTTTCAGTAAAATGTGTATAACCTTTTTAATGACATAATTTTCATGATTTAACCTATTAGCATTCATCATCTGTATTATAGTCCGGTCATTGCCAGAGCCCAAATTCGGTGCACAGGCATCTTTGGCTTTCTGTGGCAGAAAGCCTAGGCTCTGAATAACTACAGTATGAAAGAGAAGGGAAGGATGCTAAGCCAACAAATTCTAGAAATACAGAGAATGAGAGGTGAACAACTAGCGTGTTGGCCGATCACAGAAGCTTGCACCTTAAATGGTGCAGAGCATGGCTAACTAGCGCGCATATCATTTTTATTACTTTGAAGGAAGGCATAATTGAAGCTGGGTAAAGTGAGACACACGGGCGACCCTGTGCCCCGTGCTCTGGGTGTCCCTGCTGGAGCAGGAGGGTTGAACTAGATGATCTCTAGAGGTCCCTTCCAACCTCAACCATTCTGTGATTCTGTGATATGTATGAGAATCTAAATAAACTAAAAAAGAGGCACATATGCTTTAAACAGATTAGGGCACCAAGTAGTCAGGCTTCAATTCCTTCCATACTCAGACATAACCAGCACTCTGGCTTCCAGTTTTCTCGGGGCTTCAGGGAGCCCCACACGGCCTGGCCCGGCCTGTGGCGGCAGCTCCTGGCACAGTGGCAGCTCCACGCGCAGCAGCAGCTCCACGCGCGGCGGCAGCTCCAGGCGCAGCGGCAGCTCCAGGCGCAGCGGCAGCTCCAGGCGCAGCGGCAGCTCCAGGCGCAGCGGCAGCTCCAGGCGCAGCGGCAGCTCCAGGCGCAGCGGCAGCTCCAGGCGCAGCGGCAGCTCCAGGCGCAGCGGCAGCTCCAGGCGCAGCGGCAGCTCCAGGCGCAGCGGCAGCTCCAGGCGCAGCGGCAGCTCCAGGCGCAGCGGCAGCTCCAGGCGCAGCGGCTCCGCGCTCGGCCCTGCAGCCCGCGCCGCCGCCAGGCTGCCCCCGGCCCCCTGCCTGCCGCAGACCTGCTGCTGCGCCTGGGCCACCGCCACCGATCGTTCAGATGTCTCGTGTCACGCGGGAATTCATTCATGCTTCACAGAATGAATAATACCAACCTAACTCTACCTAACTGCAAAGGTGAAACAATACCTTTCTCAAGCAATAATAAGCAAACACTGTTCTTATGTCTGGACTTTCTTACACCAAGCCAAGCGTAGGAACTAGGCCTTCAGCCAAGCTCTTGGAACCACATATGTCTTCATGCCTCCTAAATTAATTTTTGACACACTATTTCTCCATTTTGAGTGACTGTTTCATTTGCATAGCAATTAATTGACAAGTCAAGATCTGTCTTATTATACTAAACACCACATAGCTGGGATTTTTCATTTGGCAGTCTTTTCTTCTTAAATGTTCTCTGTAAACTAAATAAACTACACACGATTAAGTCACTGATAAATGAAAGGCCCTTAAAATGCCATCAAAAACATATTAATGGGGTGTGGGAAAGATTTATGACTGCAGCTATACAAAAATGTATTCAGCAGTTGCTTTTAAAGAATCCAAGAGCATAGATTCATTGTCCAACTTTTGTCATTTCTGAAACAGGAAATGCTGAGTGGGAGAGAATCAATAGCAACTTTAAGCAAAAGAAACTTGAAATGTTTCTTTTATTGTGGCCTTGGTGAAACTAAATGAATTCTCAGGGCCTGAGAAACTCAAACATCTGTTAAATATAGAATGTATATAGATCACATGAGATTTACATTCATGTATTTACAAAAAGTGTATATAACTACATTCACTAAAACCCTATTAAAAAGAAGAAAAAAAAAAGAAAAAAGAAAAGCATCAGATAGGTAGTATGGTGAGTATGAGATGACAGATATTCTACTGCCATTATATTGACAGATATAATAAATTATCCAGGATATATA